GCAAATCTATTGACTATATGGTTGAAGGTAACTGAACTCATCATTTCCAATTATAGTGACAAAACTGTAAATGTAAAAATAGAAGCTAACTGATATATAGCTATATGTTGGGTACACTGAGTGCTGTAATATTGATCTCTTCCTTAAAAGTGAGGTATTGGTAACCTATAGGGACACTATAAGACAATAGGGCAGAAGCTGTAATACTTCATATCTACACTGCAAGAGAGGAAGTCACACAGACCCCATGAAAAAACAAGGGAGGAAAGTGCCCCAAACCAAGACACTACAACAAGAGAATCCATAGATAGTGAGTACAGTAAGTGAAATGTCAGAGAAGGAGTTCAGAATATACATAACTAAAATGATTTGGGTATTAAAGAACAACCTAAGTGACCAGATATAGGCAAAAATCAATCACTCCAACAGACATAAGAGAACAAATTCAGGCAACCATGAATCAAACCAACAAAGAGATAAGAGATCAAATATAGGTTGCAAGAGATTACTTCAAGAAAGAGATAGAGATACTGAAAAACAAACAAACAAACAAAAAAAAACTAAACAGAAATCCTTGAAATGAAAGAAACAATAAGCCAATTAAAAAACTCAATAGATAACATCACCAACAAACTAGACCACTTGGAAACCAGAACCTCAGACAACGAAGACAAAATATATAATCTTGAAAATAAAGTTGACCTCACAGTGAAGATGGTAAGAAACCATGAACTGAATATCCAAGAATTATGGGATACGTAGGCAACCCCATCAAAAGACCAAATTTAAAATTTATTGGGATAGAGGAACGTTCAGAGATTCTAACCAAAGGAATGCACAATCTCTTCAATGAAATAATATCAGAAAATTTCCCAAGCATAAATGAATTGGAAAATCAAATATAAGAGGCCTATGGGATATCAAATGTATAAAATTACAACAGATCTATACCAAGACACATTATAATGAAAATGCCTAGCATACAGAATAAGGATAGAATTTTAAAGGCCACAAGACAAAAATCAGATTACCTATAAGGGAAGACCAATTCGGATCTTAGCAGATTTTGCAACCCAGACTCTCAAAGGTAGGAGATCCTGGAACAACATATACCAAGCTCTAAAAGATAATGGATGCCAACCAAGAATCATATCCAACAAAATTAAGCTTCAAATTAGATGACAAAAT